GGGGGGGGAGGGGGGGGGGGATTGTGCTCTCAAAGGAATGAAACTAGTGAGCCAGTAGCAGCAGTAGTAGAGAGTATCTTGAAAGAAGAAGGCTAAAAACTTTTATAAGCGTGTGTTTTAAAGAAATCATATAATAAAGGTACACTTAGAGTTCCAGTCAACTGCTATCTCTTCATTCCACATTCAATCCCCGTTAACGATCCCGAGTACCTGAGCTAGATGGAGCAAGAACTGAAGAAGGCGGACAGTTATAATCTAAATCACCCATATGTGGAACAAGTCATAGTACAATAAAAATACAAAAACTGCAATAAATCAGTATACACGAAAACAGAACCAAGCAACAGAAAGTACAATACACTTTGAACTATACATGACTTTTAATTATTTAATATCAAAATACCACATGTTTCGATGTAATGAAAACTTCTTAATATACTTTGAGGCTTGCAAATGGTCAATGAAGATCATACTTACTCTTATGTTGACTTTACAAGAACAACAATCTTTTCCAGAATGAATTCATGATACAAATCAACTTTCTAAGTAAGTCCGAATCAAATTCTTGTTACAGTCTCTGCTCAAACTGAAAAGAATACTGAAAAAATTCAATTTCACTGTTTGCTACTTGCCAGAACAAAATTCACAGTTATCATGCAGACGAGTGTGTAGAATGAATTCATGTTATTGAATTTTTGTGCATTGGAATTGCTTTTGTTTTTCAATAAAGAAAAAAATAAATCCTAGTTCCATAAATTTCTGAAAGATGATGCAAACAGTGAGAGAGAAACACATATTCATTGGAGGAAAACTATAAGATACCAAATTAACTAACACCAGAAAAAAAAAGTCCTTCCTGAGAAGATAACAGTCACTCAGCTAGGCAAGCATTCCCTGCCTTTTAAAGAAGATAAATGTTCATTTCCATCTTCAAAAGATTCTGTCAATGGTCAAATGAATTCAGCTCACATCCTTCCACTCAGCTTCTTTGAAATTCAACCCTATCTGTTTTACAAGTTGTTTGAAAGAACTTGTCGAAGTCCAAAGGAACTTCTCAATGCATTCATTTCTATGGTGCAGACTTCATAACCCCCCACCCCAAGCAGGAGGACCACCCATTGTCAGCCGTCTGTAAGTGCTTAATCAATATATTCACAACTACTCTCTATGCCACACCATGGTGTCAAGAGTCACACTTTCTACCATAAAATAGTAGTGACAAGGCTGTCTCTCTATGACTGAAAAAACCCAACATTAACTATGGAATACTTGTTTTTAATAAGTAACCCTCTTACTAACCTGATTACAATCCACTTCATCTGAACCATCATGACACTCTGACTCGCCATTGCAGAGCTGGGATGGATGGATGCAGTGTGAGTTTTCACACTGGAATTGTCCTGGCATGCACTCAAATTTGGGGCAGAAATTAGGTTCATCTGAGCCATCACCACAATCATCCTGGAATGCAAAGTCTCCAAAACATAAGAGAAGATCCATAATCAAACTAATGAAAGTATTCTAATATATTTTCTCCAACAATGCTATCTTAAAATCCTTAGACACAACCAGTTACCATTTACTTTTCACTGAGAAAGTATATCTGTATCTATCACTGTTTCTCAGGGCTAATTTACTGTAAAGAACTCTTCCATTCCACACTGTCCAGTTTTTATAACGGGAAATAGCTGGCGTTCTTCAACAAATATGCCGTAGTCATTAAATATTTAGGAGACACTAAATACGTTTTATAACCCATAATAAAATGCTGACATTCACAAATTTAAAATTGTTGCTAGAGTAGCACTACTATTGATAGCAGAGCTGCATGATATTTAAATAAATGTATTACAATATAAGAAACTGTTCTTTCCAAACTGACTTTTCACAAGCCCTATAAAAATGTTTAACCACAATTTTAAACAATTTTTTTCATAAAACTAGTTCTAGTTGAACAAATTTTCCTTTGATATCCAATGCAATTTTGTTTACTAATATAATTTAAAAAATGTTTAATGGTTGGCACAACAATTAAGTTTATAATGTGAAGCTTTCATGGCAACAGTAAATAATAAAATCCTGTTGGGCTACCAGCCGTGTCAGATGGTTAAAAGAAGCCGACAATTCAAGGACCATCCCCGTCTTCATTATCAAGACTAGTTAAATGTGTGCCCAAACTGACCCACCTACATCTCTGGCCATAGATTGTGCATGGTTCTGAGCGAAAGCCAATGGGTGGATAGTGGTAAGAGTCAACCGTTTGATCTGTTCGGGCCTGCCTTTGGGTTGGTATATCTCTATATTGTTTGGTTAAGTTGAGTACAAAATCCCAAGCCCAAGGTAAAAATTAATAAGTCATAATGAGTCTGATTATGCAAGACATTTTATACCTGCGTGTCACACTTCCACCAGAATGGGATGCATTTGTAAGTGGAATCACACACAAAGTGCGCAGTGGTGCAGTTGGCAATGCAGCTCTTTCCATCTCCATCCAGGACAAAATTCTCTGGACATGCACACTGGTAGCCATGATTTGGGGTTAACAGACACAGTGTACTACAGCCACCATTGTGCAGACATGGGTTGTCAGGCACTAAAAAACAGACAATTATAACATCTCTAGGAATTTAAATTTAAGAACTGAGTAATCTCAGGTAAGCTAAGTATTTTTATTTTTTTTTAATTTTTTGTATTTCTAATAATATGTAATTTCTTTTCAAGGATTTTCAGTTGTTCCTGGAAGTTATGTAGAATACCTACCAAGATCAAATTGAACCTCATTGCAGTGTCTCAAAGGTTCCCACTTGCAGTCCTAGGGCAACACTCTCAGTTTGTAAAAGAGGAAGATACTACAGTAGTCAAATGTACCTACATCAGTAAGAATGTCACTTTTTGCCCTTCACCTTCTGACTGATGTTTACAGAACAGCCAAAGGATTTGTATCAGCACAGTCAATTGAATAAAGTTCCTAAGATGAGCTACAGTCTATTCTGTGTGAACATTTTATACCAAAATGTCAAATTAGCTAGGCTGTAATTTTCAGCAAAGGCATCACAGACAGGAGGATTATTAAACTATAAAAATGCATTTCACAAGCTGGTCTGGGACTAGCTCAACCAGGGGGACCAACAGATATGCTATCTGTCCTCTTTTACCTTTTTACCTGAAAGAAGCAGAAACCAGCTTCTGAAACACTGCAGTTTCATAATTATATAATTTAGATGATGGACAAAGTCCAAAAGAACAATATTACATATTATAATGCACCATTCTCAAAAACCTTCAAACTCTGACGAAAAACTGGAGTTAGTCAAATCATATGTGACCCCTGTAAGTTGGCAGTAACCTGCAACTTTGGGGCTTACCACAACTGAGCCTTTCAAAACCAATTTCTTGGCCTCTGCGCTCAAAAGATTATTAGGATATTATTAGTGGGAGAAGACATTTCTTAAGCACAGAAATAAATAATTATGATATCAAAATATATTATTACAATAAAGACTAAACTGTCCTATTTCACCTTCAGCCTGACGTAGTGGATGGTACACGTGTATATCCATGGGACGATGTACTGTTGTTGTCAGGGTGCTACAGTCAGTGCCATTATACTTGCGGCATCGTCTAACAGCTTTCGTTTCCCAGTCTGTCCAATACAGATAATCTTCCAGTACAGTTAAGGCAAAGATGTGATGCAACATAACTTTAGGATCTCTCTCTGCAAAACAAGCCACCAATACAAATCAACTGTGAAATCAAAATAATAAAGGTATTCCTCAAATTATGTAACAACTATGATCAAAAAAAAAAAAAAAAAAAAAATCACAGTGGGTACAAGCACAAAACCCAAACAAAATTTTCTCTTCTTCCCTCCACCCATACTCCCCTCCTCCACACCTCCCTCAATTAGCCAGCAAACAATTTACATTAAAATGAGCATTATTAATTTAAATCAGTCTAAATTAGTTGAGTGCATTAAAAATAAAGTTGGCTTTTAAGGACATGCATTTAATGAGAAGTACCGGTATTACAAATCTTAGATTCATAACACGCTAAGGCACGTCACTAAATTACATTGCTCCCAATTAGTACTCCAAATTTTTCACAGTGTACAAGGCAGTTTCCAGTTGTTGTGAATAACATACATGGCATAGATCCACATAATATACACACATTTTTCAAATACAACTCTTGTAAATTTAAAATCTTCAATGATCTTAATGGTAATTTACTGTAGAAAGTGGTTTTGGAGATGAAACACGAAGACAGACAGAACCTATGCTTATAGTATGTCTTCAATTTATGGACTTTATAAAAAAAAAAGTCAAGAATATAACCACCATTTCCATAGCATCAATATTTTAATATAGTCAAATGACAAATCACACAATTCAGGATTATCAATTTTTACTTATATATTTCAAGTGTACATACAGACAATTAGGACAACATTTCAGTTGCCAAATCTGGACAACTGTAATAAAAACATAATCTGATAAAACATTCATTAACAACCTTCTATCCCTCCCATATTATTAAGTTACTAAAAAGTTTGTATAAAATGCAATTAAAGCATTCCTAGATGGTATATGTTTCCTACTACAACCAAATCCTGAAATCATTCAGAAAAATAAATGAACATTCCTAAGGCAGTAATTCAGGATAAACTGAAAGTTTATTTTCAAAATATAGTGCACAAGTTGTTAAACTCCTACACATAGAAAATCCTCATCTAGAAACCCTATATGATGCAAATTACATACTCCTTTCAGTAAAATGTTTCAATGTTAAATATCAAGTGTTTTGCTTCCTTTATTATATAACTTATTACATTTGACTCTATTTCATTATTACCAAAACAGCTGGATTGTGACAACATTACTGTATACAAATCTCAGAAAAAATTAATTTGTCCTGAAAAACAAAATTCAGGGTTTGCGAGTTGTTTTATAAAATGTGATATAAAGCATACTGAGGAATTCAGATTTATTTTATATTTATTAATGAAAACAGTTTTACAGAACTTAGTAAAAAAGAGGTGCAAGTATAAATGAAGATTTTAAGAGACCATGACTAAACATACTCGATTGTACCATGACCGACAGACTTCATTAAGGCAACCAAGTAAATGGAAAATTAAAGCCAGAATAGAGGTGTCAAAATTCAACACAAAACACAAGCATTTATATCCACTTCCCCTTCCAAGAGAAATTACAGTCTGTTATACAAACATTGTGTTGAACACTGTCCACAGTATATGCATGAAGTACACAATGCTTTGGGAGTTGACCCTATTCCTGTTTTCAGATGGTTTGTTGTCATGCTGACATTTCTTAACCTTTTAAAATTACTTTTAGTGACAGCAGCTGGGATTGAACCTGTGACATCTAAATACTAGCCTAGTACCTAACCACTAGATCACCACAGCACCTTAGAAATAGTTTTGTCATAACTCCTGAAACATGGTGTACATCAGGACAATGTCCAGCTATAGCATTCCTACCATAAATCAACCACTGCCACAAACCTTTATAGAATCACTAGTACAGTGAAACCTCGATGCATCGTTTTCGGCGGGGGTGGGAAATAAAAACGATGAATACGGGAGAACGATAGTTGCGGGAAAGCATTAATTTTTTTAAAAAAAACAATGTTTCTCTTTCAAAGTTACTTCTTTTTACCAAAAAAGTCTTTAATGGACAACTGGTTTGTCGAAACTTTACGTTTTAGGCCAAACAGAGCCCTTTCCACGTTCAAAATGTTTTCCTCGTCACGTTCACTAATATTACGCGCATAAAAGAACGACTTCACTTTTGCCAATGCTTCGGCAAAACTCGGCACAGCTTCGGGCTCGCATTCGTCGTCTTCCTCTTCCTCACCTCTCCCACCCCCTTCCCGGACACTAACAGGAACAATGGAAATACTATTACTGCCGAACTCAACGAAACGTAGCTGTAGAAGACACGAGATGAACCAGAAGAATGAAAAGTGCCGCCTACTGTGTATTCCAAAAACATTGTGCGTCTTTCGGTATTAATTTATCTCAAAACCCAGCATTTTAATTTCTCAGAAACGATCATTGTGGGAAAATTGTGGGCCGGGACTAAGATTTTTGAACGATCGATGCGATAAAACGATAGTTTGAGGAACGACAGAAGCGGGAAAATGTAACATTATTTTATATGGGATGTATCCAGGACCAAACAAAACGGACGATGCAGCCGGGAAAACGATAGTTCGGGGAACGATGGATAGAGGTTTCACTGTATTTATAATGCAACAGTTCTTACCTCTGCTAAGCACTATCTTCCTGTTCATGCCTTCTAAATCCGAGACTGCAATATAATCTTCCCTTGCATCTGCCCAAAACAGTTCATTTGTTTCATATGAGATGGTCAGAGCATTTGGCCAGCCCAGTGAATCATTGACTAGTATCCTCTGGTCTGAGCCATCCATTCCAGCCTTTCCAATATATGGTGTATCTCCCCAGTCTGTCCAGTACATGTAACTGCAGAAAAACATATTTGCTTTTATACAAGAGAACTCATAATAAGACAAAAAAAAATCTTATTTGTTATTCTAATTCCAGAAGAAGGTACTATTCCCATTAAAAATATGACAATTAAGATTTAAGTTATTTACAAGAAAGTAAGGATCATGTCTGCTGGCAGGCTTTTGTGTTGTTGGTGTTGGACCTGCAAGTTCTGCTACCAGGGAGTTAGTTAGATAGTTGCATGAAAGTAAAGTTAAGAAGTATGTTATTTAACTCATGCATCTTACAATACTGTTGCTATTCCAATAGTTTATAAGCTCTATACCAATAAAACATTTCTGATGAGAAACCATCTACATTTGAGTTCACATAACAAACCTGAAGGCAACAGTGTATGCTTTCAAATAGAAGGCATTAAGTAGGATATTAGATTCTTGCAGCAGTGAGTAAAAAGAAAGCTGTTTTCTGGGTTGTGGTGCCATGCAATCTGGTAGAAGTTTACCAACATTTCAGAGGTCCTTGCAGAAACTCAGAAGACAGTCAGTAGACTTTATTCTTTATTATGTTAGTAGAAGAAAAAAGAACTAATGTTTACAAAACTCCAGAGGTGATGGCAGATGTAAATATGACAGGTATTTTTATAATGGGGAAGAAGCCATTATCTGTGGTTACTTAAAGTTATATGCATTGATTTTGCTTATAACTGTTTGTTTTGTCAGATGATAAGAGTGTCAACATTCAGAATTTTAACAAATAAATAATAAAAATGGTTGTGCATGACAAATTTTTCACTTCATTTTAGGAGTTTGTATATGCAATGTGGTTTTCTTGAAAGCAAAAAGACTGTTACTTGCAGAAGATATATATTTAACTTTATATAAATTCTTTTTCTGCCAGTGTGCTTTATTACACAAAATTGTCTACTAATTTTAGGGAATTATAATTTATGCAATAAGGAATTGACTTTTACTAGAATTTGATCCAATGACTGTGTGTTCACAAGTTCAATGCACTAACCAACCAGTTAAATAGTATTTTATTGTTAGATAATAAACTTACATTACCTAAACATGAAATTAATGACACAAGAGTTATAGGATGGAAGATCTGTAGTTAGGAAAGTAGGCTTTATGATTTCAGATGGAAATCAAGTTGCACTGAGACAGGTACAATAAATTACTTACCCATTCCTTGGATCAAGGGTAATGGCTCGTGGCTCCTGCAGTCCTGTGTTAATCAAAACTTTGCGGTAACGCCCATCCAATTTGGAAACCTCAATAGTATCCAGTCCTTTGTCACACCAGTACAGATTTCTGCTTACCCAGTCAACAGCAAGACCATCAGGATTTTGAAGAGTTGCTGAGTGCAACACCTACAAATACACAGTTACTAATGAAACTGTTGTCATACCAAACCCAGGGAGGTGGAAACTGGTAGGTATAAATATTCAGTGGTATCTTTAAGGCAAATAAAATAAGTAAGATGTGATGGACAGGACATATAGAATACAAGGGACCAAAAGTGCACTGTGTACAGAGTTTTGGTTGAAATATAGAGTGGTTCAAAAATCCCTGTGCACATGTAAGAATAAGTGATACACATATGCACCATGTAGGGCAGGGGGGAGAGAGAGAGACTAGATTTCATTGTCCCACAAGAGGGTCCAATGGCATGTGTTTGTGAACAAAGAAATTAATGTTTGGGCACAACAAGACAAGATTTCTCTGAGTAACTATAGACTTTTAAACGAGCTTAATCCAATACAACAAAAGATATTAATTAAGAAGGAATCTCTAAAGTATGCTGAACTAATCATGTAAGTAACATTTATTGGAATTCACTATACAATGATATAATGGGTTAAAATATGAAAGCAAAAACTGAAAGAATAAGACATAAAATGACACCACTACTTTCCACACATGTATATTTTAATCCTACTCAGTAGAATATTTCTTGAGAACTAGCACACAGACACCATGAAATGGGATCACAATCATACAGAGACACACGAAGATGCCACAGGAATAAACTTTACTTTCACCAGCATAAAAAATTATGTCAGTGTATAAATTAAAGAATCATTAATAGCATTTGCAGTGTAAGAAACCATTTACAATCAGTGTACTCTGACCAAAAATAAAGATCCAGGCATAAGTTTGCAAGGATTACATTTCTGTTAGTAAATTAAATACATGTTTATCCTCTAGTTTATTGATGTTTTCAGACTTTGGCTGCAGTAATTTGTCTGCCAAAAACTTATGCATGTCAGTCATGTTCAATAACATTCTGATAATTTAATGCCACACAACAGACCCTTCCCTACTATAAAATTTCTCACATTGTTCACAATGCCAAAGCATAACAAGACAGTTCTGAACAGTCCTTTCTCAAAACAATTGCTTGGACATCTGTTATGAAGGGCTGAGAGTAGCTGGCAATGGTAATGATTAGAACCATGTAAAACAAAATACACTGTTACTATGCCTCTTCGTTACATTAGCACAGAGTTACCTGGTAGGAACCATCACCAGTACCACAGAATCGTTTAATGCTGCTTCCCAGTGCAGTCACATCAGACCAGTAGATGCACTGTTCTGCCCAGTCGTAATCCAGAGCAACTGCATTTGTCAGATTATGAGCACGAAGAGTACTGCGTCCATTAAGATCCAGCTCTCGGATGTAGTATCGATTTGTGAATATCAGCGACGGATCAATACCTGCAAAAGTATTCTATAATGATTCACAGTAACTTGAAAAGGGAAAATTAGAAGTAGTATGGAACAGACCTCACAGCATAAATGGGAAGATAATATTAAAATGTATCTTAAAGAAGTGGCCTGTCAAGATTAATGGACTGAAATGGATTGGAAGAGGTAAGCAGGCATTTCTCCCTCCAACACCAAAAGTTCAACACAGTCTGCGATCCAAGGCAAATATATTCATAACAAAAAACAGCCAGAGACTTGAACAAAGTTTAAGGAGTTCTTTAAGAACCCGAATGCAAAAGTCACAGCTAAGAATACGAATAAATATACATAATGTCCCTGTCAAACCTTCTCCCATTTCTGACCATCAATGTGTGAAAACTGTTAACAACTAAAAAAAAAATTACAATTCGCAACATCAGGAAAAGAAAATTTCAATGCATAACAATGAAGTTGCCACTTTATGTACTGAGGAAGATACGCCTACTATTTGTGTTATCTTTATGAAGTTTTGTTGGTATTTTTATATTGATTCCCTTTAAATTTGTTTTGTGGCAGCATTGCAGTCACTAAACAGAAAACGGTGTCTCAACAGTAAGCACAGGTTGTTACGTGATATACAGAAACAAAGTCTTTCAGTTTAGTACAAAGAAGATGCTTTCAATTTTATGGAAGCAATGGACCAGATAAGAAAACCATCAAGGCCTGGCCTAACAAATTTCTGATAACAGGGAGTGTTCACAACCAATATGAAGGTGTAAGGGAGAATGTGTCTGACAAGGCAAAACAAATCCGCCATGCATTCCATAAAAGCCCAACTAAATCCATCTGTCAAGTGTCCAGAGAACTGCAGGTATCACATACAATGTTGTACAGACATCTGCACAATTAGTCACACATGTTTGCATAGAAAGTGCAGACGGTCCAGGAGATAAGGCCGGACAATAAGTCATATCAATGGCATTTCAGTATTGACCCCATGCACACTACTTGACCCACCCATCTCATCCTTATTCTTCCTCCATTGAAGTTCATCACTGTCAGAAAACTATACCATTTGCTCACCCTCCTAATATTTCATGAAGAACACAAATTACAGATCTCCTCCAACCTTCTGTCACTTCACCTCACTCAGGTCACGCGTGTGCGTGTGTACACAGAGATTAACAGGGAAATATGTAAATAAATATGCAGATACTTATTAAATAAATTAATATATATATATAAAGAGAGAAATCAACCAACAAGTAAACAGATAACAAACACTAGTAAAAGCGGGCAACCATGAAGAAGTTATTATATGGGTGGTTAAAAATTTTCTCCTATAAGAATTCCCCCCTTCCCCCAAGTTCTTTTGGGATGATCTACTGAATAACTTCATATCAGTCATAGTTGTCTGCATTTCTATGTAACATCGACATGAATCACTGCTTACTGGAGTTGATTTTGCAGGAGTGCTTATCTGCTCGCAGCACGAAGCCATTAACACATGAGCAGACATAGGAGCCCAGCACATTACGACACACCTGACTGCAGGGTCGATCTGTACATTCATCAATATCAGAACACAGATGTGGATCCTTTGAATGAACTTGATAGCCAGGATGACACAGACATTCATAACCAACCTTCTTGTCACTGCAGATGTGAGCACATGGTTTATGGTCTTCACATTCATTGATATCTAAAACAAAATTAGTCACTGTTTAGATACAAATGTTCCTTTATTTTGGCTAAATGAGTAACTACTGAGTGTTGATAAAATGTTTTTACATTAAATGCCCTAAATTTTGCTATATTGAGGTTTTATTACATTTTACTTGATTACAGTTCGAATTCACTATCACCACGTGTTTTGATTTTGCAGATACCTCTCCTATTCCAGAGCATTCACTTTGCATTTATTAAATGTGGAGGAATACAGTAAGTCCTGATGTTTATACTACAACAATAGTAACTGCTGCAAATGAAAATGTTTAACACTGTAATAGTGCTTTTCAGGGTTACACAGGTAGCAGCTAGTATAAAAAAGGAATACTGTTCTTATTTTTACACCTCTATTGTATTCTAAACTCTGTGGGAAAAATAATGGGTAACTCTTCTGGAAGTTGAGAATCAGTCAGAATTTCTAACATTAAAATTCATGGAAATTTCATTTTTCATATACAAATTTTCATCTAGTGAATAGTTTTCATCGAATAAGATATGTTCATAAATTGAGGGACAAATATACATTGTAACATAGTAACATAAGCATGAGGTAGGAAAATGAAAATAGACATAGTTTCAATTAATAAAGTCTACATACATCAGATGACAAAATTCCAAATATACAGCACTGAGCTAAGCTTTTATGTTTTGCTGCAGTGTAACACTGCTAGTAAACTCAACTTACTGCATCGTTCCTCATCACTGTAATCGCCACAGTCATTCTCCCCATTACACAGCAAAGTCTCGTTAATACACAAGTCATTGTTGCACTTGAATATGTCTGCGCCTTGGCACCCATCCAACGTACTACTGTTTTCTGTAAAACAAACAACTTCAAATGGAATGTAAACTTACGTCACCCTATTCAGGTAATTTCGATTACATAACATCTAAAATACATAACAAAACAGATAAACACACATGGTAATGAGACAAAAACTACACCATGATAACTAATGTTTTATGGAAAGAAGGGATATTAAACCACATACACAATGACAGTCAAGAAAAAGAAATAGTGCAGAACTTTCAAAATAAAGGACTTGAAATGGCTTAATTTATAATGAAATGGGGTGAAGTGATTCTAGCCAACACAACAAAGTACAAAATACCTTTCCATGAATGCAGAAGAGTCCTATATAAATGTATATGTATAAATTTTGATACATTTAAATAAAATTTATGTCCACACTGATTTACATTCAAGAATTTTAATATGCTTGAATGCAATTTATCAGGTACAACCCAAAAGCTTCTGGTTTCACCTCATGGTAGAATTCTTAACATGGTATGAAGAATTGCTGTGACATGATGATGCCACAGAGCACACTTATTTTAGTCTTATCAAACATGCTATCCAATAAAGACATATTTAGTGCATGCCAGAGGTCTGCGAAATCTCAGATACAAAAGAAAATGTCTACATTAAGCTCTGTTACAAATGAAAAAAAGAAAAGCCTCCAAAATGCCTCAAATATTAATAATGGTGTTTTGAGATAAAGCAATGAGCATAACACAACAAAACTGAAAAAGGTGTAATCCATAACCAAATACGCACAAATGTGTTTATATTACAAAGAGATCAATAAATGCAATACAGTGAAACCTCGATGCATCGTTTTTGGCAGGGGTGGGAAATAAAAACGACGAATACGGGAAAACGATAGTTGCGGGAAAGCATTAAAAATTTAAAAAAAAACCCTGAATGTTTCTCTTTCAAAGTTACTTCTTTTTACAAAAAAAAAAGTCTTTAATGGACAACTGGTTTGTCAAAACTTTACGTTTTAGGCCAAACAGAGCCCTTTCCACGTTCAAAATGTTTTCCTCGTCACGTTCAATAATATTATGCACATAAAAAGACTTCACTTTTGCCAATGCAGCGTGTGCTTCGGCAAAACTAGGCACAGCTTCAGGCTCGCATTTGTCGTCTTCCTCTTCCTCACCGCTCCCACCCCCTTCGCGATCTTTACACAACTCATCAACCTTGTCGACTCCGCATGTGGCAAGCTCGCTGTCTACTGCCGCGTAATCACCAAATTTAATCACGTCTTTCTTCTTTGCAACTATTGAATTTAAAGTAGATGGTGCTAATCCAAGGTGTTTAGCAATGTCGATTCTTTTTTTCAAATGGATTCTTCTCCGCTTCTTCTATGATTTTTAATCTTTCATGAAGAGTTCTGACTTGCTTTACTGGGCGAGACATGGTACAGGATTAATAGCAAAATAATGAACACGAGTAACAGGAATAACAAAATATTTACGGGAACAACAACAAAAATATAGACTGGAACAATAACAGGAAGAATGGAAATACTATTACTGCCGAACTCGACGAAACGTAGCTGTAGAAGACACTGAACCACTGGAAACGGCTGGTTGGGCGACGTAACAGGTTACTGCTACTGTGTATTCCAAAAACATTGTGCGTCTTTCGGTATTAATTAATCTCAAAACTCAGCATTTTAAATTCTAAAAACATCGGGTAAATTTCATTATAATTTCTCAGAAACGATCAATGCGGGAAAATTGTGGGCCAGGACTAAGATTTTTGAACGATTGACGTGATAAAACGATAGTTCGAGGAACGATAGAAGCGGGAAAATGTAACATTATTTTATATGGGATGTATCCGGGACCGAACAAAACGGACGATGCATCCGGGAAAACGATAGTTCGGGGAACGATGGATAGAGGTTTCACTGTAACATGTTATTTGTAATTTTATGATATGTCTTGAAATGTCTCTTGACCTATTACTTTTTAAAGAACAATTATTAATAAAAGATTATATCAGTTATCTTCCTTAGGCAACTTTAGTTTCCAACTACACAAATCACACAATTTTAATGTCTTCTTACAGTAATGTAAATGAATACCAACATGTCCTAAAGCACATTAAGCATACTGAGCTCAAACACATGTGGACATGGGATTTAATCCTGGTCAAGTCAAGATATTTTTCTCTTTCATGCAGCCACTGCGTTGTTTTATATAATACATGAAATTTACACATCAAAGTTCTGTATTTTCTGAAATTCTATACCCATACATCATAGAATAGCCCTACTACAAATGCTTCTAGCGTCAATTTCACCTCAGAAGTTCGTTCATCAGCCATGTTGGTATTACTGACTGCAGAAAATTGGAAAACTACATTTTAGTATAGGCTCCAATTTCAGTGTCCATACCAAATTTCACCCAAATCTACCCACTAACTCTCAAGCTGAACCTTGCAGCCAGACAGACATTGGCCAGCCCTCATGCACATTGTGCAAAGAACATAAAACATTACGACTTTTCAAAAGTTCTGTACTCACGACAGTCTTCCTCATCTGAATTGTCTCCACAGTTGTCAAATCCATTACATTTCCACACAGCAAGAATGCATTTACCATTCTTGCAGGCCATCTCATTACTGCGACACTCCTTATTACAATACAGTGGTTCATCGGACCCATCTCCACAGTCATCATCTCTATCACAGAAGTACTCCTATTTAAGAAAGCAAATAAAAAGCACGTTCATAAGACTGTATTGGAGTGTCACACTGTGTTAGAAATTATACATTTCATTACTCTCTTTACATAATTTTAAAAACCATCTGCTCATGTCTTAATGTCTGATGGCCAACAGTGCAGTTGTTTATGGAGCAAAATGAAGACATGTCACAATAAATCAGCCATTAAGACATGAGCAGATAGTAAATCATATAAAGACAGTCAATAACAAGACATATAAGCATGTGAATAATTCTGCATACATAACATGTGCAATAAAGTTCTGAAAATGTCATCTTGGATTAAACACGCTGCAAAACTACAAAATGTTTTTTGAGATCCATCGAAACAGACACTTATCATACTTATATATATATATATCACTTGTAAAGTGATCATATACCTACTTACAGACTACAAATTTTTAATAAAATATAAGATGTGTATACACATACACCATATTTAAATAATATATTTCCATCACAGTTTTACAGAATAGTTATATGGAATGAAGATGCAATGCTTGAAGATGTCAGTAATAACATTCAAAACTTTCAAACTTAATACTAAAACATTCTTTAACCTTTACTGGGAGTGTGTCACAGTCTGATTGCTGGGGCAGAGGCATCTTAAAAGTTATGTACTGCACACTTTCACTCTGTTCTTTATTTTACATACATGCTCATATGATGGGTTTAAAATGTGATTTGATGAGTGAGCAGATTAATTGTATTTACCTTGATCATATGAGATTTAAATCCCAATACTTTGGGGCTGCTGGCTCGATTTAACAGTTTAGTGATGTGATAACTACAATGCTTGACTAGCAGGACCACGTATAATGCAGAAATGAAGAAGGGGAAGGAAAATGGTCCAGATTTAAAAAAAACACAGATATTTTGGTTGTTACTGCAATTCATAGTGAAACAATAGAGAAGAGCCTGTTGGATTTGCAGGTAAACCAAAATTACTTTACTTGAAATGTCTGGTGTCACAGACAGGCTACTCAACATGAGAATATTTGATATTCATGAAAAAAATACAATAAATAAACAGGCTATACATTATTTGTAAAATTCATCCTCATCAATACTGTACTGCTAGAACTCCTTCAAATTCCCTTCTCTGTCCCACTGAATGTACCTCATCAATGCACTGATGATTTGCACATCGAAACTGGTTTGGTGGGCACATTGTCATATCTCCTCTCAGACAGCCCACTTCTATACTTTCATCAGAACCATCACTACAGTCTTCCTCTCCATCACATGCCCATGTCAATGGAATACATCGTCCAGTGCTGTTACACAGGAAGTCTGTGTTTGGACACACTCGTGTTTCTGATAACAGAAAAATCAGAACAGTATTTATGTACCACCTGCATCATCCACACCTTATTTCCTTAAGATTAATTTTAATATTATCCTCCCATCTATGCCCAAGTCTTAAAAGTGGACTCTCACATTCAGATTTCTGACAAAAATTGTGTGTGCATTTCCTCATTTGGTAAAAACTAAGAAGTCCTTCACTATGAAATTTTCTACAGCATTCTGTCACTTAATCCCATTCAGGTTCAAATATTTCTCCTCAGCAGCCTGTTTTCAAACAACCTTAATCTGAGTTCTTCTGTTTTGTGAGATACCAAGTTTCACACATACAAAACTGCTGGAAAAACTATTTTAATCATTATGCTAATAGACAGACGATGGGAGATACAAGATTCTGAAGCAAGCATACCCTGAGTTTAATCTACTTTTAATTTCTCTGTGAATGCAAATTTTATCTGTTACCAACATCCCCAAATATCTGAACTTTGCCACTTTTTCAAGGGATTATCTACCATTACATTACGATTTTGTCCAGCATGCTACTGACAAGACATGAACATATACTTTGTGCTCCCTGTGTTCACTTCTACACCAACCTCCTAACAACCATCTACCTGAGTGTTTTTTTTATGGTATTTGTGTTCTCCTCCAACAACCTAATACCAACAGCATACACCAGAAGCTGATGTGTCCCATTCAATTCCAGCCCATAATTGTTTTCTTATGCCCAACTAATGTCATATTATAAAGCAACTTCTTGTTTCAGATCATTCAAATACATCTCTCTATACATAATTAGGGTCTGGGGCCCACCCAGCCTCCTCTACAATGGGTACCGGGGTCCTTTCCCGGGGGTAAAGCCGGCCGGGGTGTGATGCTGACCACTCACCCCCATCTAGTGCCGAGGTCAAGGAAGGGAGGAGCTATACCTCCTCTCACCCCAAGCGCCTACATGGCACATAGCGGGACAAACTTTACTTACTTTATGGTCTCCAGACAAACCCATGGATCATCCATCCATAATAATAATGACCATATCATTTCCTTTCAGAAGTAAAGGAACAGCTTAGAAACAAACATTTAAAAACAAATGATGCAAAAAAAATTTCAGTGAACACATGATTAGAAGAAAAGGTGACAAAGGTTACAACTTTTTTCTGTTACTTCTTCAATCTTCTTCCATCACCTCCTTTCCTTACAACGTGACCTTTAGAAACCTTTTCACCAGCTCTTTCCCCCAGCTGCAAGCTTGCTACTGATACTGAATGTCCTGGCACAGTGGGTATCACTTATGCTTTACATCTGGGAAGTCCCACGTTCAAATATTGGCCATATAAACTACAAATAATAATTTTGCTCCTCTGTTCTTCCAGTCATGTCATGTCATTTTATGCCCCTTCCTACTCACAACCTACAGTATCGTCTGTGAAGGGCTAACAAACCCCCTCAAAACACATTCACCTTTATGATAGCTAAAGAAGTGTTTTCAAAAACATTTGAAAAACCACCAAAATTCAATGCTTATTCCCCAAATGCCAAAGTTATATAATTTAATTACGTGCTAAGAACTGGGTTGGAACTAAGTACCATGTGGAAGGATATTAACTAAATCTAGAAAGGACATGCACATAAAGTAAGTTAGTCAAACATCAACCTGAAAACAATGCAGTTTGCAACACAAGTTGGGAAGCAACAGGTAGGGAGCGACAAGTGTGAAATAAGATGGATAAGAATAAATTTCCTTCTCACTGTACATTCTAACTTCCCTCCCTTTTTGTATGCATAAATGTTACTCACTGCAGTATTCTGTTTCATCTGACTCATCAGAGCAGTCAGAAGTGCCATCACAACGCCAAGTCAACGGAATGCAGTCAGAATTATTGCACTTAAATTGATCTGGACGGCAGAAGTAAGCTGTAAAAGTAAAAGCAACAATACTACTTAACCTGTAGAATGAACTTGCAGTGTCAGCAATATTACAGCTCAGTTCTCAATTTCACTTTTAAATTGTAGAAATGACACTGGAATGTACATTTTTTGTTTAATTAAGTTACAGTTTTGAAACACTGGCCTATGCAACAGTTTCCATTACTGCTCTGAAGTAGTCATAAAACCAACATTTACTCAAAAGTCAAGACTTTAAATTCTGACATATGAAATACTGGATCATAAAAACATCAGTATCATTCCCAGCATGGTAACGCAACCACAACTTGAAACTGACCACTTCAGAGCCAAATTGTGCAATTTTATTTCAGAAAATGCAACAAAATACATACTGCAGTTCTTCTCATCAGAACTTTTTTCATCTCCAACTGCATCATCACAATCATTGTCTTTGTCACACTGCCATGTTTTCATGATGCAACTGCCACTGGCACACCGGAACTGTTCTGCAGTACACTGCTGTGGTGAAAATGTTGCTGCACAACACAGAAAATTACATAATACTGTAAACTCAACACAGAATGGAATACAAAATTTCAAACAAATGTACACCAAGCAGGTCTGTAACAAACAGATTAGAAAATAAATCTGAAGTTACTGGGAGCATGGTCAGCAATAAGAAAGAAGTAAGAAGTCTGTCAGAACACCAAAAAACATTCACA